ACTATAATACAGCTAATAAACAGTTTCATAAAAAGTACTATAATACAGCTAATAAACAGTTTCATAAAAAGTACTATAATACAGCTAATAAATAGTTTCATATAAAATACTATAATACAGCTAATCAATAATTTCATATAAAATACTATAATACAGCTAATAAACACTTTAATATAAAATACTATAATACAGCTCCAATACCAATTATTTTCCAGGTATCTCCAGTAAGTAGTGGCTGGAAAGGAAGTCGGTATTTGGATATCTCTGGAAGTTCATCTTGCTAGGTAAAATAAAACAATCACATGTAGATTCAACATGAAACTTTCTATGATCACTAAAGTTGTTCAAACAGTAAACATTTATTTCTAATCAAATTTTATTTGATTAGAAATAAAAACAGTGAAATTTTAATAATGTTGTTCAAACTGATTCCAGGTGGAAACAACAACACAGACATACAACTTCTGCAATTATTAACACCACCTGCTTTCTTTCTCATGAATACTGATGCTTGCAAGCATAACAGGCTAATTACAATAAAGGCCTTAAAAGAGAATTTCTTGTAAAAATCTTTAATTTAGGTTTATGGGTTACATGATGGATTATTACTGTGCCACTAGCTTGGAAACAAACAAAGTACTTACTACCAAAACAAGCAACATTTAACAACTCACAGAAGTTTCAAATATACTTGCTCCTATCCTCTATCTAATGTGTACTGGAGAGGGAGCGATTTTAAACTAATTGTATCAATATCATGAAGTTCGAATGTTGTAATAAAAAAAAAAGAAATCAAGTTGACTTCATGAAGGAGGGAGGTGGTTATTATTAACCCTTTCTGTCTTGTTGACTTTATGAAGGAGGGAGGTGGTTATTATTAACCCTTTCTGTCTTGTTGACTTCATGAAGGAGGGAGGTGATTATTATTAACCCTTTGTCTTGTTGACTTCATGAAGGAGGGAGGTGATTATTATTAACCCTTTCTGCCTTGTTGACTTCATGAAGGAGTGGGGTGGTTATTATTAACCCTCTCTGTGTTATGTAATATTGTAATCAAAATGCACCATTGATATCTCAGAATACCAAATGTGTTGAAACAATGTAACTAGTACAAAAAAGTTAAACTATTTTATATTTACTTTTGAAGCCACAGCTTAAGTATAGTGATTTAAATGTTGTTCATTCACTTGACACAAGATGTATTATGTTATAGTGTTACATTACTGTTCAAAACAATGAAAAAACATTTCTATCACATCTACCACAATATTTAGTAAATGTGGAAACAATTACTATTATTATGTTACAAGTTGTTATTAATGTTTAAATCTTATTCCTTACACTTTCTACGAGAGAACTGATTATTTAAGACCTTATTATAGTTCTCAAGGTTTTGATGAATTTTCTCATGACGAAATTAAAGGAACAGATATCACTAATGCTGTGTTACAAGAAGCTTGAGCCATTTATAAAACAAGTTGAAGTGAAGTTGAACTTTTAAAGGACACAATGTTTCAACAGGAGACCTAGATGACTTCTGTATTAGAAAATCATGGTAAACCTTAGGACAACATTGTGCAAACAAGCAAAGTAAAAAACATGTAAAAGCTTGCATCCTTTAAAGAAATGAGAGCCAGACCTAAGTGCCATCTCCTGCACACAACTTTTCTTTTATCTCTTAATCTGTGATGCAAAAACACTGAAAGTTCGGTGTAAGCATTTATTGAAAAAATTACCACAGCTCCATCCTTCGTTTTCGTGATGATATAACTGTTTAAAATAGGCAGGTAGAACAGATTCCCTCAATGAAATACATAAAATATAATGACCTGATTCAAACTAAAAATAAAAATGTACCTCAGGATGACTGCTTAACCAGTTGTCAATTTCACACTCTGATGGTGGACTTCTTCGTTTATAGATTTCAAGGAACTTCAGAAGCTCTAGGCCCTGATGCAAAACGTTTTAATGTAAATAAAACTCAACTGTAATTTGATAACAAAACTGAAATTGTAAGAACCAATTTTTGTTGGTTTTATTAGAACATGTTTTAAAGTATTCTATTTAGTAATATCAAAATGTGGTTAATACTGAATGACACAAGAAAACTTTTATTTTTTTATATAACACAGAACAATTATTACTTATCATATCAAGTAAAAAGTAGGCTTTTGAAGTCTATTACTTAAACTTTTACTGTTTATTATTTCGCCTAGAAAAGAAGTTATAAACATAAAACAAAAGAAACTTAAACCAATAAATTTGATGTAGTTGACTGAGATTTATTATGATCTAAAAACTAAAGAAAATATTGAAATAAGACTATTTACCAACAAAATAATAAAAGCCTGACCTTTTCAGCCCAATTAGCACAAGAACTGGGAACCTTTGCTTCTATCTGAAGAATATATTTATGTACAAAATGCAGCACCTCATAGCAATAAGGATCAACCTATTAAAGTAAAACTGTAATGTCAACAAAAAACAATAATAATCACCCTATTAAAGTCAAATTGTAATGTCAACAAAAAACAATAAGGATCAACCTATTAAAGTAAAACTGTGATGTCAACAAAAAACAATAAGGATCAACCTATTAAAGTAAAACTGTAATGTCAACAAAAAACAATAAGGATCAACCTATTAAAGTAAAACTGTAATGTCAACTAAAAAACAATAAGGATAAACCTATTAAAGTAAAACTGTAATGTCAACTAAAAAACAATAAGGACAAACCTATTAAAGTAAAATTGTAATGCTAAGTAAAAAAAACAAATCAATACAATAACACAAGGTCCACCAAAAGAAGTGTAGGTACTTTATACAGTTAATGGTTCGAATTTTATTGATGAACAGGAGGATAATCAAACAGTGTTCTCTTATTGTTCAGCTGTATTTCAAAAATGAATGATCCATCACTGCTGCTCAAAGAGCATACCATCAAGATCCTGGTGTTAAAGTTGCTTCTTCTGAACATGTCATCAACGGGAATTGAGATTTGAAAATGATGGAGCCATCTGTCACACTGAACGAGCAACAATGGCAGTGTTACACGAACTGTTCCCAAACAGGGTAATTTCTCATAATGGAGATATAAACTGGCTTCCAAGATCTCCAGATTTGTAAGCAGCAAGCTTCTTTTCATGGGGTTACTTAAAGGACAGTATCAACAAACCATGGACAATACAGGACTTGAAAGATAACATAAAGACAGAAATTAATGGCTTTATTCATGAAACTTTGACCTCTGCAACAGAAGGTGTGATCCTTAGATGTAGCATTTCAAGGTGTACACTTACCAGACATTATGTTTCAAATGTAATGGTTACAAGAAATCTTGTCAAGCTACAGTTGAATATATAATTAAAAGTAGTTATACCAACGTATGTTGTTGACTGAGGTTTACATCCTTACATTTCTTTTGGTGGGCTCTGTATTAATATTTAATTATGGTTAGAAATCTATGGATTGCAATTTGTAACATTAATTAAGCTTGAAATTACAAACCCTCCAATGATTGTGAGGTAACACTAAGAAATAAATAAACACCCACCCCCTAATTCCTACCTATGATAATCAATAAGTACTCACTTTCTCACAAATGGTTTTGAGTGTGTTGAGCAACAGCTCAGGGTTATTGACGATAGCAATGACATTCTCAGCTTTGGAAAGAGCAGTATTCACTTTTTCCAGCTCCTTCAAGCTCCAACCAGGGTTGTACAGCCACTGTTGAATCTCAGTACCGAGAAGCAAAGCTTTCAAGTATGTCAGGAGAGCTTCGTCAACTTCAAGATGAAAAGCTCCACAATACTCCTGAATCAGTGTAATATCCACTTGGTGGTTTTCTACCAAGTCCACTAACAATCGATAACATTCCTGTTGACTCGAGGTAGAAAATGCATCCTAGAACCATAAAAAAAAACTATCTCAGCAGGTCTAACACAACAAGAGTTAACCACTTAAGAGTATATTTTCACACAATATATATACATTTTAAATAACTTCATTACGAGTGGCTTAATCATACATACTGTACAATGAATTGTGATTAAACATACATACTGTACAATGAATTGTGATTAAACATACATACTGTACAATGAACTGTGATTAAACATACATACTGTACAATGAACTGTGATTCAACATACATACTGTACAATGAACTGTGATTCAACATACATACTGTACAATGAACTGTGATTAAATATACATACTGTACAATGAACTGTGATTAAA